ACAGAAAGCTGAAAGTATGTCAATTTGAAGAGTATTGAAATTATCGAGGGGCAATTCGCTGAGCAGAATGATGTACACTAATTCCTCAATGCCAAAATAATGCTTCTTAATTCACTATATTGACTAGTAATGCCTCATAATTCCCCGTAATGCCTCGTTATGCCTCCTAATGCCCCGTAATGCCTCCCAATGCCGTGTAATGCCTCCCAATGCCCCGTAATGCCTTGCAATTCCTTGCAATTCCACTGCAATTCGTTGCAATTCCTCATATTCATTCCGATATAATGAATAATATAAAGATATGAATATTTTTTGTTGTTGTGTTTTTGTAAGAATAACTCACCCTGTATAGAAATGATAGGAAATCTGATCTCAGATTGAAAATTTACGGGAAAAATCCTACAGGAACTTGTTGAAAAAGTTTCTGGTACCATTCCAGTTATTCTGTAATAAATCAGGTATTTTAAATTTTTTCACTGGAAGAATTTAATTGTCTGATGAAGTACTTACCAAAAAAAACTTGATACAAAATTCGTATCAAGGCCGGAATGAATCTTTATTATGTTCAGTTCTTGTAAGAATAATTGACCTAGTAAAACAATCATCAATATAATTAAGAGAACAAACTAAAAGATTTGAAATCTATACTAAAAAAAAACTAAAAGGAACTTTTTCAAAAAGGAATTGACTGAATCTTTTGTGGATTATATTTGCTTACTAATAAACGCTAATAAATTAGTATTTTTATGTAGAATTTGAATCTGAGATCAGATTTTTGATAATTATTATACAGGGTAAGTAACTCAACATGATAAAAAGAGAATACTCCGGTCCTGATATCGATTTCTTCAAACGGCTACTTGTTAAGGCCTTTCAGTTTAATTAAAATACCAAATTTAACCCAAATCGGCATTTAATATGGAGGATTCAATTTGTTGTCCAAACTAACAAATCACGCTGTATGTCAGTAACGAAGCGGTTTTGGACATTATTTGTATACATGGCATTTTGCAATTATATTGGCAGTTCCTATATAACCTCACGAGTTTTGTCGTTATCTCCGGATACCCTGTATATCTAGTAAATACCAACCTAATTAACTGAAGGCCTAATTAACTCTTTATGATGAAACTTCTACAATAACACCCAAAATAAGAACAACCAAAATAAATAACCGAGTAAATAACGTTTATTAGTCACTTGCCTTGTTTATTTCAGAGCACATCTGATACCAGAACAGCTTATGTGTAATATCGTGATGTCTTTTTCCTAACCTAGCTAACAGTCTACTGAAGGATTTCCATATACGTATTAATAATCAATACGGATAATCTCTATCTGTTTCCATAGCGAAACATGAAGCCGATTTTTGAAGACAAATGACCGAGCAAATGACTATCCATAAGGAAAAGTTTTGAAACGATCAGACACATACTGCTTTGATTGAAAGGCTAGTAAACGTCATTGTCCACCGAAACGCATGTCTTTGATGACTAATATAATAGCGCATGGCGCATGCGTATCATGCCACCAAATCCTTATGGATATTCATTTGTTTCATATTTTTGGCTTCTTCCTGGCACCCGTTATGATCCGTATTGTTTATTAATACGTATATGAGGATTTCATGTTTTCCGTTAGCACAACTTGGAACACGTGGCGAGCGATGACGTAATCGAGATATTAACGCATGCGCAATTCATACTATAATGCATCATAATTCCTTGCAATGCCACGCAATTCCTCGTAATGCCACACAATTCCTCGTAATGCCACGCAATTCCTCGCAATGCCTCGTAATGCTTCGCAATTCCTCGCAATGCCATGCAATTCCACTGTAATTCCTCGTAATTCCACACAAGTGTACACCAAAATTCCTCAGCGAATTTTCCCTCGGAAATTATGGAACCAGTGTCAATTATGATAATTCGATATATTTTAGTCAAAAAATCGCTCGAAAGAACTAACTAAGTCTCACAGTTTTTATGACGGAGATACAGGGTGGATTATCGGTTTTGAATAATGATTATTCACTCGTCCATAAGTATAAAACTACCCACTAACATTTTCTCAAATATGGTATGTAGCTTACTTGGGACGATGGATTCATTAACCTATCAGGCGGAATTATAATTCGATAATCCACCCTGTATCTCTGTTATAAAGACTATGAGACTTTTCCTGAAGCTGAACCTGTATTTCCATTCTGCCTGATAGGTCAATGAATCCATCGTTCCAAGTAAGCTCAATACCAAATTTGAGAAAATATTACTGCGATGGGTATAGTTTAATACTTATGCACGAGTGATAACTCACCCTGTATCTCTGTTATAAAGACTGTGAGACTAAGTAAGTTCTTTCGAACTATCATTTAACAAGAATGAATCAAATAATCATAATTGAAAGTGGTTTCATAATTTTAATACTCTTGAAATTGACATACTTTTAGACTCCTGTTTATGATTGTTACGATGAGAATTGGTGGCGGGAAAACGAAAAGCATCAAATCCAGTTCAGTTTTTCCTCCTCTTCACGATTCCTCTGATGAACTCTGTCAATTATTACATACAGTGTGTTATTTTGATATTTCGAATAAATGTAAATTTTTCCTGAAGCCGAACCTGGATTTTCACTTCGGCCGATAGGTGAATGAATTCAACGTACCAAGTTTAAGCTCCATACCAAATTTTAGAGAAATATAGTGGGTAGTTCAATACTTATAGACGAATGAATAATTATTCGAAATCGATAAATCGCCGTGTATCTCCGTTATGAAAACTCTAAGACCTATCAAATATGGTATTTTCAGAACCACCTTGGTGACCCCTATCTACCATTGAAATATCTCCCTTTATCTGTAAAACACCCTGTATATATAGCTTGCTAGTGGGGATATTTATATATATATATAACTAGCTTGCTAGTGGGGATTGCAGCAAAGTGAAGGTGAACCCATTACAGTTTGTCCGAGCTTTCGGAAATGTTTATTTCCATCTCCAGCGGCTAATACAATAGATTTTCTATGTGTACAATGACAGCATTATAATGAAATGTTCAAATGATACTTACACTACTTGAGGATGATCACTATATGATGTTAAGATCAATGAAAAGTATAGTTCATTGGATAAAAGACACACTCTTTCATAGATAACCGAATTGAAAAATGTTGAGAATAATATAATGAAGTGTGTTGATAAATACACATACAAATAAGCACTTCCGTAACCAGTATTTTTTATCTCATGTATTCATGAACATGATTTATTATTTTATCCTTTTCTGTTTCAAGTAAGATTATCCACATGGTGTTTTCTAGGTTGGGGCTATGGATGAAGTGGAAAACAATGCCAAAGTCATTGATACTACCGGTGCTTGTAATCTCGTCGAAAGCAAACGCTTGGGTTGGGCTGTTAACCTCTGATCAATGCTTTGTGTGTGTGTTCAATAGTCATAATTCAATGTTCGTCGTGGCATATTGCCAGAAAAGTAGTTGTTTTCTGTTGAACAAACCGAGAAAGAATAAATATCCTCATCACATGGAGAATGCGAATTATCAATGTATGTCTTCGTATATATCCATTTTTTTTTGTGTTCTTAAATATATATGAGAATATTCTTTTTCAATACTTTCGCCCAGTTCCAACACCTTGGACAATTTGCCACTATATTCCAGGCTGAGGTATTCGCTGTTGCGTTCCAATTAACAGTGCTTCTCCTAAAGTGGCGCATGGAGTTAGTAACAAAGCCTACACAGAACACGCAGAAAGATATGATGATGTGGTTGTGAGCATCAGAGAAGAAGTAGGACGGTGTATGTAGGTGGGTGTGGAAAACTACCAGCTGAGCTGATGGGCGGTGCCTGAAAAGGATGTTAGCCAGCTCTCTTGAGCGAACCACATCAGTCATTGAAAACACTTGGGGCTTGCAAAAAGGTCCCATTGGGGACTAGTTGCTGACGTGGAAACGTCGTCCGCCAGTACCAGTACCAGTACCAGGCTGAGGTTTTCGCCATCCTTGCCTGCACACAAGAAATCACACGACGCCACATAAGAGGCAAGCGCATCTCCATCTGCTCCGACAGTCAGGCCGCTCTCAAAGCTCTACGAGCACCAAGAGTGGTCTCTCGGTTGGTTTCAGATTGCAAACGGAACCTTGCTGGGATAGCAAGGGAAAACCGTATCGAAATACTTTGGGTTCTGGGACATAGTGGGATAGATTGCTACGAAAGAGCCGATGCTCTAGCAAGGCAAGGTTCTTCAGCCCGTCCTGTGGGCCCAGAGCCCATCGTGAGCATTTGTCTCTGCACAGGACTGCGAGAACTTGAAGAACTTCTGACAGACAGGTTTTGTCGGGAATGGACTGAATCCAGGGGTATGAGGCAGGCGGAGACCTGCATTGATAGGCCTTCGATACGTCTCACCCAATCCCTCCTGAATATGCGAAGATGCCAATGATGACGATGACCCAACGTCCCGTTTATGTCTCGAAAACGACGAAAATCCCATCCACATCATATGTAAATGTCCTGCGCTAACACAGCTCAGATGGCGGAGTTTTGGACAAACGACTCTTCCAGCGGAAGAAGCGCCAAGCATCCCGGCTACCGACATCCTAGCTTTCGGGAGAGCTGCGGGACTCTTGTGAAGGATGCCATACTCACGGGGCGACACGATGGGCCCACACTAGCGGTCTAGCTGTCTGGACTTCGACAAGTCCCCCCGATGCTTACTCAACTCAACAATACTTTCGCAAAACCAATGAGTTTGAAACTTGAACGATGGAAACTTGTTATTTAATAGACCTCAATCGCAGATTCGTGATTAGGTTTTCTCAATTCAGAATTTGTTTCCACGTCCTGTATGATGGATATCAACTTAAATCCAAAAGGATGTATGTTGATTTCCTCAAACTACTATAATGTATTATATTATCTCTGATGATCGGAGTAATATCCAAATAAGCGTCAGCTCTCTCATGCTTGCTCTCCCTTTTTGCAGCCAAGCCCCCGCCGACAGTGACGTGGTACCGCAACGACGTCGCGGTGAGCGAGAGCAGCGTCGCGGTGCCCGCCAAAGGCCAGACGCCGTCGCACGTCCGCAGCGAGATCCGCGTCGCCGGTCTCGGCCGCCGGGACGTCCACTCGCAGCTCACCTGCCAGGCGGCAAACAACGCCAGGACAGCGCCGCTTGCCGCCACCTTGCACGTCGACATGAACTGTGAGTAAAGACGTTACCATCGAGACTGTAGAGAGTGGAAGTAATCACTGTACGTAGACCTCCACGTCGACGTTAACGTACGAAAAATAACGTTTACGTATTGTCGTTGAATTGAGTTGAAGTCGCCACTTTGGTCGTCACTGTCATCATAACGTAATAGTACATTTTGTTTTCGGTTTGTATTGGTCATTTTTGGTTGTGTGTTTAGATTCGAACATTTATTCCTGTCAAAATTGGAGGACTCCTTGATGCAGAACTCGTTGGTGATCTCGAATTTGATAATTTTGACTCATCGGCATATTTCGAGTATAGTTTGGTTAACGTACGTTATTGTTATCTAAGGTATACGTGAAGGAACGTGAGATAACGTACACCCGTAAGCACACTAACAACGCAAACGTGAAGAATTGGAAAATGCGCATGCGTAGCTGTCAATTTCTACGTTTACGTTAACGTTCATGACAACACTTCAACTCTCTTATATTACGTGAGTAACGGTAAAGAGCAGTGCTAGTAGTGCTGCCAACTCAGTTTTTGGGAAATCGAGAGACAAGCGATATTTATTTGAAGAAAGAAAAATCTCCAAGTCATCTCCACGATTTTTAATGACGAAGTTAATTACAAAGGGAAGTGATACATGTTTAGGGCCTATCATAAGCCCATCATCAGCCGAATATATCGAAAATCCACAACATTACCTAATGTTCATGAAATTGTTCAAGATAAGATTATACATATGCACTTATACATGGATAGAAAAAGCTACATGTATAATAGGGCCCTGTACCCTCTTATCATAGTTATGATATTTCAAGTTGAAGCTAGCCCGGATTCCTTGATAGATTCTGATTCAACATTAAATTTAACCGTTTCTCTATCTCTCATAGTTACTGAGATCCCAATGGTGAGGATCGAATTTGGGACACACTGTATAAGATTTAACTAGCCTTCTGGCTGATAGGAAGTATGCCCACGAGTTGACACATTGACTACATCGGGACTTCAAAGTTTTCAAATCAGCGGGTTACATGGAACAGTATATATACTTTTTGAATCATCCTAACGACTGAACAGGCGAAGATACTTATTTGTATAATTATTTATAATATCATACATCTTTCATGATAGTGCTAGATTTCCCATTATGATCCATAAATTTGCCTCGTATCTGAAAAGTGTTCCATTCAATTATCTAATATCAAGAGAACACCCGTTTGATTTTGTCTGTTTGTATCCCTACTATGTAATTAACAAATGAATGAATGAGAGTATCCCCATCCTAAAATGTCTTTCCTAAAAACTACTAGAAGACGACAAGGATCTTCCGATATTTTGTGTCCATCATCACTGATCATAGTTTGTGACTGGACTAGACTGGATATTATACCGTGGATAAAGTATATGTACCTAGATGATGCAATATGACTTTTGAATTAGACGAAAAAAAAAGTTTTGTTGCACCAACAAAATAATTTTGGTCAATTTCTTTTTGTTGAATTAATCACAATTTTGCGAAATCAACAAGATATATGTTCATTTCAAAAAAGCAACCTCGTCAAAGAGACAAAATAATTTGATTGGAATATTTGCTAACTTGAACAAAAGTTTCATTTCATTCAACAACATTTATAGTTGACATAAAACAAATTTTGTTGATCCAACAATTATCTCATTGTTCAATCAATCATATGCATTTTGTCTATTCGACAAAATTAAATCAATTTTGACAAAGATTTAACTGACATCATATTTCGTTGAGTCAACAACCATTACAGTGTGCACCAATCAGAGGTTTTTTTCTATTCGACAAAATTGAATTGATTATGGCAACATTATATTTTGTTGATTCAACACATCACTATCGAGAAATATGTTGTTATTCCAAACAAATTACGTTGTTGAACAGAACCCACAAAAACATAATAACAAACAAATATTTTGTTGAATGATTTGCATTTTTGCCACCAGGTGGAGTTTCTTCCAACCTTCCTACACTTGCCTCGATTTGAGTGTACATATACCTACCTACCTAAAACTTCCATTTATATAATCATATTAAGCTGTCCTAGGATTTCTTATGACGCTTATACAAGCTGATAGTCTTGAATCAACTGATGAGGAAATTGATCTCTAATTTCTCCTAGTTTTGAAATTCAATTATTGATTTTTTTGTTATCATTCAGAAAAATATTTTGTCAATTCAAAATACAATTTTCTTGATCAAAGAATATATATTGTTATTTTAACATATTCACTATCTAAAAAACTGAAAATTTTGTCACTTGAATAAAATGATATAATCATTTCAATCAACTGAATCATTCAAAAGAGCAGATAATGTATCAAATATATAATACATCAACAAAATAGTCTTTGTTTATTCAATCAATTCCTGCTGTTAATTTGAATCATCAATGAGTTACAACAAATTAATTCTGAATTGAAAACTGACAAAAAATATTTGTTGCGGTGACAAAATATCTGGTCGTGGATATATGACACTCAGATTTTGTTGAATTTACAAATATTTTGTAGTTTCAAACAAAATTTTTTTTCTGTGTAGGTACTTCATCGATTTATCTTATGAATCTGCGATGAGTGAACTGACTAAGAAGAGGGACTGCCTCAATTCCACTTAGTAGTGATTTCATATCATTGTTTAACAGCCAAATTCTCAACTGCTTGCTGTCGTTGTTATTCTTCTTCTCACTCTTTTCTGGTCTCATATCGAATGAACATTATCAAAAATATCGTTCAACCCCCCCAAAAGTTTATATCACTGCTTTTACGCTGGCTGAGTTGAAAAAACTCCATCCATTATCTACTCGGAAATTAAAATTTATTGACAATTTGGGACTGAGAAAGTTCATCGTAAAAACTTCCTTTTGGTCATAATTTCCACTGCAAGACAAATTGAATGAAAGTCCTACCGGGAATTGGGAGATATAGAGACTTCGAATAACAATGTGTTATTTAACGGGTAGAAAAATGGGGTTTCTGAAGAACACTTAGGAATGTTCACGTTCCATCGGGAATGTTGAATTAAAACTCATTCCGCTGTTCAGATTATGAATATTTATATTGAACGTGTTTGAAAGTTGCAGTACTTACAGTTATCTTCCTTACTTCTTGACACGTACGTATTGTGATAATATTTCTTCCAAAATGGTGGATAAACAGCTGTACAATTTTTGTACAGATTTCCTTTCTGGAATCTGTATCCTGCCGTCAATAATCATTTGATCTTTCTGAGCGCACGACAGGGAATTTCAAGTATGTTCGTGGAACATGCATACCTAGAGAGGTTTGGAAGAGATATATAAAATCGTTGACTTTCCTACTATCTAATGATGTCAAGGAAATCATGAGTGTTGGATTTCCAACCATGTGAGAAGCTCGGATTTTTTTTAAGTTCTGGTTTCCACGAAGAGGGATATCCTGTAATGTTCAGAGAACATCGTGAGAACCAAGGGAAACAAGATAGAAATTGGTGTTCTTCTCGAATTTCTGGAGGTTATATGCCTCGGGGAAGCTCCCTTGGCAATGTGTTCCAGAGCCTCGCTGTTCTTTGGATAAACGAGTCTTTGGAAAAAGATGTTCTGCAGGTCGAAAGTGACCACGAAGGGGTGCGAAGCCTCAACTCGACGGCTTAATCTCGCGAGGACTGCCAAGAGAGGTACAATTGTTGATACTTCAGAAGAGAATCGTCCATGAAAATATCTATAGAATAGAGCCAGATCGCAAACTTTTCTACGGTGTTCCAGAAAAGTGAGCGAGTTTGTGAGCGAATAAAATAAAATCTGGAACCATCAGCTTTTGTTTGGGAATTGAGGTATGAAGTATAGATCTTCGCTCGGGATCAAGAATAGAGTTTTTCTCAAGAAGCTTTCGCTATTGATCTGATACGATTTGTCCATGAAGAAGTATTGCTGATGAGACTACGAAGCAAGTTATATATGGTGGACTGCGTGGAAATGAAGGACTTCTTCTTGGAGATGGTGGAACCAAACATTGAGATTTCAGGCGTATGAATTCAGCTTTATCAGAGGAAGTACAGGTTTCAGTTTAGGAGTCGTTGAATCCAACCAGGTGATTAGGTTTCCTATATATAGCTCTGGTGTCAGATATATCTGAAGCATTTGACCGTATTTGGCAGTAGAAACTTCACTACAAACTACCATTGCACGGCTTACCACCTCAGCTATATGCTAGCTTTCATCGAGTTTTGTTTAAGGCAAATCGCTCCATGTGTTGGTGGACGGAATATTGTCTGATATTATATCCATATCCATATCCATATCCATTAATTCCGGCGTTCAATCAATTGAAGCCGTTCAATCACATTTCATTCAACCTAATGAAAATACGTGAGCAAGTTCCATTGTTACTAAGTATTATTTCTACCCACTTTAATGAAATGAATTTGTGGAAAACCGAGAAATTGAGCCGATGTCGACTTATTTTTTATTATTTTGTGTAACTTAAGTGATTGAATAGTGTTTTATTCCACCTAACAATGTTATGGATATAATAGTTATTTGTTTTACTACGCAGAAAAGTACAAGATTCAATGTCAATTTCACGCAAAGTCCAAATAATCCATCATTTTTTGTTCACCCAAAGTTATTGTCAATTTTGCTGTTTACCAATTTGATTCAAATTACTTGGAACGTTGCATATAGCAACAAACTTCTTCTGCCTAGGCAGTAAGAGTACACTTTTTCTACATGTTGAGTGTCATTAAAAATCCACTTTTAATGTCATTTGGAGAAACATTTATATCAATACTAGAGTCACTGGATGGTATTAGTTTGATAAGAGTTCGAACACAGCTGAACTTTTGTCCTTTTCTATTTTCTATAATACAATGGTTCAAGTGAATAGAAGAATAAGACATAAATTCTGCTCTTTCTCTTTTCAATTTCCCTAGTAGCGCCTGATTGTCAGATACGATTTTAGAGGTTATATTTTCTGTCAAATCAATCATAGCTGTAGATGGA